ATATATATTATATATATATATATATATATATATATATATATATAGTGTACATTAAATAACAGACATGCACAAACAGTACTACCTTAAATTATCATTCCTTAATTACACACAATAGTAAGTCATATCAACATGCCAAGATCTCTCTACCCCTACTGTATTGTGATGCATTTTTCTCTGCGTGTGATCCTGTTAAAGTGGTCTATGTGATGACGGATAGTGATCAAAGAGTGAATCTTTTTCAAAAACAGGTCAAAATGATTTCATTGATCTTTACAGACTTGTATAAATGAAGCTCCTTGCTGTGCATTTGCTCATAGCTGGGGGGAAAATGTTAGTTTATAATCATAAGTTGTAGTCTTCATAATTTATACATACAGAGATAAATCATTGGAGTAGAACATTAGTTGTAGGGTCATAAATAAATTTGCCGAGATAATGAAGAAGCCAGAGCCTTGTGTGTCAGCCTATCAGTCGTAAACAGACAGTTTTCTGTCTTAAACATAAAATTTGAATGTGGAATGTTGTGTGACCTTGCAGATCAGTGTTATTCATTGGAATATTGGTTATACAAGAATGATGCAGGAAAATCTGTGATTACCCTTTCTGGTTTAAATTCCAATCAGAGCCTGTTTTTCCCTTTTAATTCTTTTATACAATACCAAACTAATCAGTGCCTCTTGTTAGCCCAGAGTTTTGTTATGTAGTTATATCCTGAATAATTCCTGCTCTCCTTGTGTTTCAAAGATATAACCATTTGCATGAGTGGGGAAGAATGATATTCATGGCTGATATACAAGGCTGGGCTCTCATAGCAAGAGTTCCCTGGCTGCCTGACCAAACCTCTTATCACTTCCTCACAGAATTAGGAGAAAGAATGGTGCTTAAAAGGAAAATTAGAAAAAAAAAAATCAGGTATTCAGGGAGAAGTGTGTTTTGGCTGTCTGATGAGGATAAGTGTGCATGAGGGTTGGGAGGGCAGTTGCTGCTTCCCCATTGGCTTGACCGGGCCCCCAGAAGGGTCCATGCTGCTGATTCTTGGACCAACGAGGTCAACTTGCTATTGCAACCGACCAAACCTGTGGTCTGACGCCGCTGTACCCGTTGCTACCCGTCTCCTAGACACAACTAGAACAAAACAAATGTCTGCAACTTTGTTATTAAAAAATAAAATGATACTAATGATGTTTGGCATTTTGTCTTTCATGAATGTGACCACTGGTAGCATAGAATCCTTAACAAGAGCTGAAAACAAAAAGAATGAAATATTTGTTCATTGACACACAAAAATAGTGCTAACATAATGCTAGGAATACACTTATGCATACGAGCCTTCTGGGAAAGAAAAATCTTCCTTCATCAAGGATGTCAAGAATTATACTTTTAGTTTTTGAAGATGCCTCATGGTAAGTCTTGAGTAATTCTGTTTTACCAGAATTTTGCATTGCTGTGCATGCAGGCTTGTGTGGATTTTTTTAATAGCATGAAATGCTTTTTTTTTTCTTATTTCCAGTATTATTCCCATCTTAGATTTAGTGTTTTTTACTCTTATCATTCTGCCCATATTTAAATTTGTCTGCCTGATATACACTTTCCACTGTAGCAGTTTTCAAGTGAGAGTCAAACATTTTTTTTTTTGTTGTCCTATATTCCTAATCTCGTGAGATAATCAGGTTTCTATCAAATTTCATTAAGAACAAGGATTTGTGTGAACTTTCTGTACTCTGGTGCTCAAATTAAACCTTAAAAGTGTGAGTTACTATCAGTGATTCCCATACATTTTCTGTTTAAAATTTTTAATTGTATACTCAAATGTTTTTAAAAGTTACAGTTTGCAGATTTTAAGCAGACACATTTCTTCTGTTGATATTCACACATATTCCACTGCCATCTTTTCTCTTATTCCCATTCTCAATAATGAATAGCCCTAATATATTATAATTCATTTCCCTGATATGATCCTTGGTGATAGATACTGACATGTGGTTTTAGCCCTTTCACTGTCCAGATGCTCAATATTAGCCCTTTGAAAAGCTCTACGGCTTTGAAGCCAGGGTCCAAGCCGTAGTACTATGTCATGAGCTTAGCTCACTCAGATAAGCTGTGAGTGGTAAATTTGGGCCTAAATATGAGAGAATGCATCTATGTGGTAAGTGTGCATCATATAAAACAAATCCTGCAGCATGCAGTGCATTATGAGAAAAAGCAGTGTTTTTGGATTAAAACAGCAACTTTGTAGTGCATTTTCGTATGTTTTTTACGGTTGTATTCATGGTTTCTTGGTCTCGTTTGATAGAATGGAAGATGTGTTACAGAAATAGAGGTGATTTTGATTGGCTTTAGTATTCAAAATAGCTTGAAATTGAGCTCAAAGTAGCAGAAATGTTAGATTTTTCCAGTGTTCAAGAGTAAACAAATCACATCACATGTCCAATACACATCAGCTGGTGGGTCTAATATGCATTCATGAATGTGCTTTTATTTATACAATTATTTCAATATTGCATAATAGTAAATCGTCAATCTTTTGGAATGAATAAAATTCTTTGTGAATAAAAAATCACAATGGAATTCATGTGTAAAGCCTGAAAGCATAACTAATAAACAGAGGTAATATTATTTTAGTGCCAGGAATGCCTGCATTGTTTATTTTGGACCCTATTTTGAAACTGGAATATTTTGAACTTTGTGTGAAATTGGCCAAATTACCAATTTCTGATCATTATATTGGGTAGTTGAAATAGTTGATTGGGCAATTTCATGTGCTTGATAGATAAAATGGAACACATACTAGCAAAATAACTAGCAAATAGCTAAGAATTTGGTCTAGTGGAGCAATGTAATTGGCTTAAAATAGAGCTCAAATTGGGCAGAATCGTCTATGTGTAAATACAGTGGTACCTTGACTCATGAGTGCTCCAACTTACGAGTTTTCCAAGTTATGAGCCATCGCTTGGTCGTTTTTTGCTTTGAGTTGAGAGCCAAAATCCAAGTTACGAGCGAAAAAAAAATATTTACTGAAAAAAATAAAATTTACTGAAAATGAAATTTGGCAAGAACCCTGGCCTAAATGGCACACAAAAAGTGGTTTTGGGACCTGGTACTTATAAAACAATGCTAGTGCGATGATCTCAGTTGCTAAGTTTTTGACATTTGCAAAATATCTTGCCCTTTACTTCCACACAAATCTGAAAATATTTGGAATATTTCCAATATTCCACAAGTCAATTATAGAACAACCTTTTTTTTATGATTCCTGTCGATATTATTGCATTTACTTCAATAATTGGTGAGTTTCATGAAATAAGTCAATACAGTGGACCCTCAGCTAACGATGGCATCAGCTAACGTTAAATCCAGCTAACGATACATTTTAATGCAAAAATTTTGCCTCGGCTAACGCTA